TTTTGAACATCCTCTCTTCTAGTCTAGCCGAACACTCTTCTCCTCTCCTTCTTCTTCTTTTTCTTCTCTTTCTTCTGTCTTCTTCTCTACTTTGACCTAGAAACAACTAGGGTTTATTCACAAGGGTAAAGAGGATGCACCTGTCGAAGTGTCAATAGAATCTCCATGGACTTGTCTTAGTTACCAATAGGAAGTTGGAGGTGCTTTCATCAAGTGCATCAATCATTTCCAATCTATAACTCACTATTTCTCATCAAAAGTTTCTTTAAGTTTGTTGAATGCCAAAGCATGTTTCTGTGTTATGGGTTGGGTATGTTTCTTCATTCATGTTATTTTGACTCTGTTTGGTTGCAGTATGAATTTCATTTGCACTGGTGTAACTGTGTAAATACGTGGGACTGAAAATAGGCTGGGTGTAAATTCTGGTTTACTTTTCCCATCAGATCTGACATTGTCTCATTTGTTTGTGAGTAAGTAAAATGGTGTGGTACCACCTTAAATGAAAAAGCATGGATATAGGAGGAGGATTATTTGTTTGGAACTTGGAAGTGAAGTAGGAAGCAAGGTGATGTAGTTCCCACTTAATATGAGAGACAATTTTTGGAGGAAAGTGGTGCAAATTTTACATCAGTTTTTAAGTTGCAACGTTTACACAGCCAGCAAGTGCAAATGAGACAAAAAGTTCAAGTTCTGTATCATGTAGAAGTGTAAATCATAGTTACAAACAAACAGATGCAAAACTGAACCGGGTGCAAAATTTGTATCTGGTACAGATTTGCACTGCAAACAAACCTAGCCTCCACAACTTCTATTCTGGTTGATATTTTCAATAAATGTGGACAAAGGGACAATGACCACTAGTGGTATAATGGAGGACACAATAATCAGCAGAGGACAAAAAAGTCTAGAAAGCTTTTTTTACTGTAGCTTCCCCATTTCAGTCCAAAATGGAGAAAAAATGGATAAATATACTGCACATGGTAGCTGACATAAGATAAAAATAGATGAACCCACTATCAATACTAAAATCAATATATTACCTTCATCCTCGAAGATGCTTTTTCTTTTCCTTTGTCTTATATAGAAGATAGCAAAGACAGATGTAGAGATGGCAATTGTAACAGCAACTACAATACCGACAATCAAGACCGTCCTTTTCCATGAAGGTGATGTTTGATCTCCACGTACAGTTGGTGTGAAATCTACTCGTGAAATTCATTATCCGTATTTAATAGAATATCAGTTGAATATCTAACACAGTATTTTGATAAGCCAACATTCATCACTTTGGGGGCGCATTTAATCAAATTCTATGTGATATTACCTGGACTGAACTTTATGGCCGAAATGGATGATCCGTAATAGCCGTCTTCAGGTATTCTCTGAGTACCTTTTCCAGCCCAGAAAAGATGAATTTCAACATAGTTCTCTGTTACATTAACCTTGAAATCCTTTGAAATGCCTTTAAACATTCCATCTGCTTCCTTCGCTATTTCAAAGTCTTTTATTTGCAGAGCCCCCTGTAGCATTAAATTTGTTACTACACCAAGTACATAAAAGCTTTAAAATTGGAAAATTATTCTATAAACAATTCACAACTTTCTTACAATGAAATTCCATTTACATTAATGCAAATTTATAGGAGAATAAATCAGGAGTGTAATTTTTTGTTCACTTTCACTTGGGGTTTCACTTTACTTTTCCTTGGGTCTTATTTTACTTCATTTAGACTGCAGACAAACAAAACAGAGTAAAATTTAAAACAAAAATCAGAATTTGCATTCATCTTATGTGCACTCCCTTTTGCACTGGTATAAATGAAATTGCATTGCGACAAACTAGGATTAAGAGGAATTATCTAAACCTCTCCCTTTATGCTTTTCACAATGTTTAAAACTACCTGCAACTGCATATACCACCAAAGGTCCTCCCTATCAGAGATAGTCCACCAAAATGCAAATACAGAAAATGTTAAGTTACTATTCTATCCATAATAAATTGTGTTTCCATACATACATACATACATACATATCTAAGTACATGATCAAATCACCACCACCCTGTAGATGACAGATACACCTGAACTAACAAAATGTATGAGTGTGAGGGAAGATCAAATGCTAGGTCTTAATTTATTAAGATGGACCGTCCTTTTCAATGTGGATCTTTTCAACCATGTTGACGACATAGTTAAATGTTCATATTTTGGCATCCCATTGGACAATCAGATCAATGTGCTTCCTTGCTTCCTCATGGTATTATAATCTATGAATCTGATCCAATTGAACATCAATACATAAAAAAAATAATGCACTTCCATGATCTTGTATATAGATGGTCTATGGTCTTAGTTGTAGAACCATTTCTTTTTTTCTTTTAGTTTGCTTTTCATACAGAAATTGTTTAGTATCTGTTTAAGGGTACTTTCGTCACATCAAATTATATCAAATAATGTCAAGTGGGTTAAGATCAATTTTGTCACCTAGAAATTATTTCTACATGAAGTGCACTACTTCTATTATGAGACGAGATGGTAACTTAGATTAACTGAGAAACTGACTCAAAGCCTTTTTGACAAGAGGTTATCAGAGGTATCTAAATGTTGGAGGGAAGCTTTACATAGTTTATATTACAACCATTATTAAATATATCACAAGTTTATGGACAAAAGCATGTTTTAAGTACCAGTATTGATTACCATGAAAGCAAGATCTGTAAATATTATGATATAATTGGATTGGTAAAAGAATACTAGTATGAAGTTAATAGGAGATCTGGGGCTTTCATGTTGCCAAGATTCATAATCCTGTGTGTACAATGGTCTTGTGTTGCATTTAAACCTTTCAAGTTAAGAGCTTAAACTCTTAAGAAAAAAAATAGTTATTATAGCTTGGGATTATTTTAACTTCGTAGAACATTTTTATTCTTTCTTTTTTCTAATCTAAGAAAAGTATTGACCAAGATAAAAAAACAAGACCCAATAGAAGAAATGAACTGATTTGTTTAATTGATACTACTAATGTAATATTAGCATATGTTGTTCAGTAAAAAACTCTAACTTCATCTTCTACATCATTTACCACAATCCATCTTAAAGCACAAAATTCAAGAAAAAAGTTGGAACTTTAATAAGAACCTGAGACGAGTTATGTTTTATTCAATCTCTTAGCACCTAGTAAATCTACTACAGGTAAATGGGCATAGTTTTGTTATTTGAAAATTTTAAACTGTTAAAGGCCAGAGGATGAAGGTTGAGATAAGGGATACCAAAAAGTTTCAGATCCTTGAATATTAAAAGATATATCTCTTAAATCACAATACCTGAATATAAATATCAAAGATTCGCCTTCCAAGAAACTTCCAGGAATTGGCTGCCCAATCAAATCCTGTTTCTGCAAAATATAGACTTACCGTATACATTCCATTCTCCATACCTAGGCCGTAGTACCTTAGAGATCCTGGAGATAACCTTGATTGTTGAAAGAAGGCTACTGTTAAAGTACCTCCACCTTGAATTGGTCTCACGGTGCTTTGGAGGTAACTGGGATTTTCTCTATCAAAAAATATTCCAGCATTGCTAACTGCCCATTTTCTATTGTCTGTTACGAAGTATGATGCTGCGCTAATGTTATAAGTTTCTCCTTCAAATTCGTCTCCATTAGAATCTTTCATTGTTTTGTCACCACACTTGATTGCAAATTTGGCATCTGTAAACAAATGAATAGAATAAAACCAGTAGTTTAATTTAGTTTCTATTTATTGCATTTGAAATATGAATCGTCTTTTTATAATTTATCACATTTTACAAAAGAAAATATCTGCCTTTCGTTAGTACAGTAATCAATGGTTCCAATATAGAATTTAGTGGCCGATGCATCTTTTTAATCATCATGTTCTATTAAATTTAATATAGGCATGTACATTAGTATATGATACCAAGGATCTCTAGTGTAGGGCCTATCTATTATTTCATCTACATCATAATAACAATGACAACAACAACACCAATACTAATACTACTACTACTACTACTACTACTACTACTTATAATAATAATAATAAATAAATAAAATAAAAATGTTTATAAAGTCCTAGAGTTTAGTTGATTCCACATATTGTGTGTGTATCTATATCTATATCTATCTATCTATCCATATATAAACTAGTGTAAGAAAATGTGCTCTGCATGTGTGCAAGTATTAACCATATGTATAGAACTGCTTGAGTTTAGATGCAAAACCAGAAAACAAACAAACAAGAGAAGTTTAAGAAGAAGATGAGAGAGAGCTGGCGGCAATGAGAGTTAGAGAGTGAGAGGTTCGAACTAAACCTCCCTCTAACACTCTAAAACATTTTATTAAGTTAATCTTTGAAATATTACAGAGAGGCCCTTGGGTGGGCAAGAAATTACAAAAACAGAGTATATAAGAGTATGGGCCCAGAATAAGGCCCATTACAGAGGAAAACATAAACATAACATAGAATGACAGCCTATGGGCCATTCGGCCCATCTCCTCTACACTCCCCCTCAAGCTGAGCATAGATGTTAATCATGCCCAGCTTGCCAGTGTCATGTTGAAGCCTTGCCTTGGAAATACCCTTGGTGAGGAAATCTGCTAATTGTCCTTCAGAACTAATGAATGGAAGACACACTTCACCGGAAGAGACTCTTTCTCGAATAAAGTGTCTATCAACCTCAATATGTTTGGTTCTATCATGTTGTACTGGGTTGTGAGCAATGTTGATGGCAGCCTAATTATCACAGTACAACATCATGGGTTTGTCATGATCAATCCCAAGTTCTTCCATTAAGGACCTTAGCCACAACAATTCCGAGACAACATGTGCCATGGCTCTATACTCTGCTTTTGCGGAGGATCGAACCACAACTGATTGTTTCTTACTCCTCCAAGAGACAACATTACCAGCCACCAGACTGCAATAGCCTGAAGTAGATCTTCTATCAACAATATTTCCATCCCAATCAGCATCAGTATAGGCTTCAAGTTTCAGATGACCATGCTTGGTAAATAGAATTCCTTTTCCTGGAGAGCCTTTCAGATAGCACAAAATCCGTTCTATTGTTGCCATATGAGTATCTCTAGGAGCATGCATGAATTGGCTAATACAACTGACAACATACGGAATATCTGGCCGAGTCATGCACAGGTACAGAAGCTTCCCAAGAAGTCTCTGAAAGACCCCTTTGTCTTCCAACAATGTTCCATCTGAAGCTGAAAGTTTGTGACTCGTATCAATGGGAGTTGCAGCTAGTCTAGCACCCATTTTTCCAGTTTCAAACAGCAAATCAAGGACATATTTCCTCTGGAAAATAAGAATCCCATCCTTGGATCTAGCAACTTCTATGTCAAGGAAGTATCTCAACTCTCCCAGATCCTTAATCTCAAATTCTGTACGGAGGAAAGACTTGAGGGCCCGAATGCCTGAGGCATCATCACCAATCACTATAATGTCATCAACATACACAATGAGATACACTGCTAGAGATCCACTTTTCTTTACAAAGAGAGTATGATCTGATTGTGTCTGAACATAGCCGAATTTAACAAGTGCAGCTCTAAATTTCTTGTTGAGCAAGAGCAAGAGAAGAGAGGAGAGGAGAGGAGAGAAGAGAGGAGAGTCGAGTGGACTGAAAACCCTCTAGAATGCTAGGGGCGAGTGTAAGAGATATTATTTATATTGGCCCAGTCGTACAACATAAAAATGGGAGAAATTACAACAGTACCCTTGTGGTACTAAACCTGAGTACACAAAACAACTGTCAACACTCCCCCTCAAGTTGGAGCATAGATATCAATCATGCCCAACTTGTCACAAAGATCATGATGTCTGAAAAGGTTTAAACCCTTTGTAAA